AGCTTGGGCGGGAGGTGAGGGGCAGCCAAACGCGGCGCCTCAGGGCAGGGCGGAGGGTGCCCGGCGGGAGGGATGGTTCCTGTCTGAGGGCCTGGGGGAAGGGGCTGTAATGACTTTTGTGCCTTTTGGGGGGTAAATTAAACCCAAGGACACCCCTGCGCCCACCGGAGAGTGAGATAATGAGATTTGTGTGGTAAAAGTTTCCTCGTTTCAGGTGAGGCCTCAGTGTTTGGGCTCGGAAGGTTGGAAGCAGCAGTGGGAAGCTCCCAGCCGGTGTGTGTTTGCTGTGGATGGAGGTCTGGGACCGTAGTGGGAAAGGTCAGTGTTGCAGAGAAGGATATGACTTAACTCGTGGTTGGAATATGGCTTTTCTTAGTTAAAATCATGCCAACTAAAACTGAATGTAATAGGCAGTGTCGTCCTGTGCTTCAGGCCAGGGCTGGATTGCTCCCCTCCATCTATTTTGTCTGAAGTGTCATTTGTGCAGTAAAAACATAACGTGGGGCTGCTGGCAGAGCTGTCACTAAGCTATTGCTCGCTGGCTTTCTGAGCAATGCATTGGCAGCACTTCTTGGCAGAATTGTGGTCCACGTAAGAAGTATCTCGGTAATGGCAAGTCTGAGGAGTATAAACGAGAGTTCACATTTTATAAACTAGTTACTGGAAAATTAACATTTATTCTTCTTTTCCTCCTTGACTTTAAGCCACTTCCATTTTGTGCGTGTAATGCTGGTGCTTAATTATAGTGACACCCGTTTGCAGTAACCAGACTGTATCACAGGGTCCCTATGGGGTCCTTCTAATGCCACTGTAATATTAAAGTGTCAGGCAGGCGGTCTGTGTATTATAAATAGGGTACTTCATCCATGATAAGCAATTATTATCTTTCCTTCCCAAGTGTAAAAGACCTATATAACTCAGCAAGGTGCGAGTGATTTAGGCCTCCTGAGTAAAAATCCAATGAGTCCTGAAGGGGACCCTACGATGTCGTTGTCTTGTTGCTGAACTTGAGATATTTAATTTATTATACTGGAATATATTTTCTGAAGTCAACATTGGGTAAAATAATAGGAGAGACTGTTAGACCAACAGTACAACAGGATTTAATGGCCCTCTGTGATGGCCTTCTAAAAACCTGAATCACCCTTGGTAAAAGCAGAAAGCTGCTGTTAAAGTCTACTGGCCATCAGTGAGCAAACAGTCTTAGTTACTGTTTTGAATCGCTTTAATGTTGTAGAAAAAACACATTTTATACTTTCTTCCATATATTTACAATTATATGGGTAGCGTTTTTGTGCTGAAGAGGCCCGAGTTGTGCAGTTTTATGCACATTCTTAGCTTTAGACTTATTAATTATATTCAGCTAACTACTAAAAGTAGAGTTGTGCACTTTACTTCACATACTTGAAGGATTAAGGGCTACAAATTTGACCAATTTTACTATTAGCTATATGTTTTATTGAGTTGTAACTAAAACCTGAAAACAAAAGCCCATTACAGTATGGGTTGGCACCAGAAAAAAACATGTAATCAATTTAATAATTATTATAGCACTTCTTTAACACTGGATGTTATATGGTGTTTATAACATTAATATGTCTCTGCTGAAGCTGTGTAAAGCTACCCAGTTTTCCAGCTGAATCAGTCTTGGAAATCTGAAAGTCAGCTTTTGAGTGAGGGTGGAAATCCTGACAAATACACAGTTCAGTATAAACATGCTCACATGTAGTTTTCACTGGAGGACAAAGGGGGCTTTTACTCTGCTATTAGCACCAAGAAATAGAACAGAGAATCCACCATAAGTCAGTCAACTCATGCAGCTGCAGAGCTCTCTCCAATGAGATAAGCGCAGCATCCATTCTTGATAATATTGACTTTGTTATTGCTGTTTAGTGAAAAAGTCTTTTAAATAATTCTGTGCCTCTCATACCTGTGTACATGTTTAAATTGGTTTTTTTTCCCCTAGAAACACTTCACCTTTGCTACTGTTGGTGAAATGTAGCAGCAATGAGAGTGGCACTCTCATGGGGAGCAAAACCGTGGTAGTTATGATATATTCATTAATTAATATGAACATACCATAATAGTTAATATTATGTCTGTTAATAATCATAGAATCAAAGAAAGGTTTGGGTTAGAAAAGACCTTCAGATCATCTAGTTCCAGCCCCCTGCCACGGGCAGGAACACCTTCCACTAGAGCAGGTTGCTCCAAGCCCCTGTGTCCAACCTGGCCTTGAACACTGCCAGGGATGGGGCAGCCACAGCTTCTCTGGGCACCCTGTGCCAGCGCCTCAGCACCCTCACAGGGAAGAGCTTCTTCCTTATATCTAACCTGAACTTCCCCTGTTTTAGTTTAAACCCAGTGTCACCATTGTGACAGATCATGCAAGGTACAGACAGTAAAGTCCTCAGAGCCAACAAATGTGCTTCTGTACAAATTATCCCATTGTTTCTGTCATTAGGAGGATTTAGCTAATGTAATAAGAGTAGAAATACTGGTGGATGTGTGTAGTAAGGACTTGTAGTTTATTTCCAAACATGGACAGCAATGGTTTGTATCACAGATAACTTAAAAATTGTTTTTATACTTTCAAATAATATGACTATATAATCATTGTGATATCAAATGTCTGAAATTAAATGACAGAGGCCTGGGGCACCTCTGCTCTGGAGACAGGCTGAAAGACCTGGGCTTGTTAGCCTTAGTTTGAGAAGAAAAGGCTCCAGGGAGACTTTAGGCCCCAGTACCTAAAGGGGCCACAAGAAAGCTGGAGAGGGGCTTTGGACAAGGGCCTGTAGGGACAGGACAAGGGGATTGGCTTTAAACTAACAGATTTAAATTGATTAGATACAGATGAAACTGATTATATCTTAGGAAGAAGTTCTCAACCTGTGAGGGTGGTGAAGCACTGGCACCCAGAGAAACTGTGGCTGCCTCATCCCTGGTAGTGTTCAAGGTCAGGTTGGACACAGGGGCTTGGAGCAACCTGCTCTAGTGGAAGGTGTCCCTGCCCATGGCAGGGGTTGGAGCTGGAGGAGCTTTAAGCTCCCTTCCAACCCAAACCGGTCTGGGATTCTATGAAAATACAATAAAATGAAACTTTTTACTATCAATAAAGATTAAGTAGTGCATAGTAAGTAGAGCTCAAGCTATTTTTGTTTCTGGATCTCAGACCACTTACCTAGAGGCATAGCTAAGTATTCCCATCCCAAATTTAGAGAACTGAAAACATGACCTCAATGTTTAGGATACTCTGTGCTAGTCTATGTTTCAGAGGACAAAGCAGATGTGTTATTAAACAGGCAAGGCAGTATCAAATTCTAACTGTGATTGTATTCCTCACAGAATGGCCAGCAGTCCTGAGGATAACACATCCCTCTCCAGTGAGAAAGTCATGCACCCAGAAAGTTCCCAAGCAAAGAAGTCCCAGCATGCAGAAGAAGCCACCTTTTACATGAACTGCCGAGCAGCTTATCTAGCTGTTTTAAAAAGCAGTTTAGAAAACATTAAATCGAAAGAACAACTCAGATTAGGTAATGAAGAGATTATTTATTTTCCCTGTAACTATTGTGTGTGATGACTACAGCGGGTAGTTTACAAGCAGCAGTCAGCAATTCAATAGTGAGTAACCCAGTGCATAAACTCAGTAACTGTTTTAAGGAATTTACAGTAGGTTTAAACAGGGTTCAGATTTCAAGTGTTGATAGTTGCATCTTTGAAGACATTTTCATTCTTTACCTGTTATAAAATATGTCATATAGTGATTTTTCAATGTTTTTTAGAAACTACAATTCCTCAGAGTGTTTAATTTTCCTCAAATCCTTAATCTTTGTTGCTAGGTGTTGGAAGACTCGTGAAAGTGGGAATAGTAGACAGAGCTTTTCATCTGTAAATCACCATCAGGAATGGGCAAAAGCCCATGCTAGCTGTCAGCTTACAGGGGACCCAAGTGAGTTGTTTAAGACCACCATATTTGATGGTAGTGTTGTTGCTTACCTGAGGTGGGCCTGTTTACTGCTTTGTGATTGTGACACTTTTACAGTAAGTTTTTCCCTCTCCCTATCAAATGACTGAGTTGGTCTCAGTTCAGTTAAAAATTGTGGACAATTGTCCTTGCATGGAAAATCACATGAATTGGCACAGAGGTTTGCAAACTCAGAGGAGAGGTTGGTACTGGAGGTGTACATATGGGAATTTACCCACAGAGCAGTTCTAAGTATGTGAAAATACTGCCTTTCCTCTACCAGTTTATGTGATCAAATGGACTGTTTCAGGCACTGGTGTTTCATAAAAATTCTTACTCTTCTTTAACCTCCTACTGAATTACAATGTTCCCATAGAATGAAATCAAAAGTTTCCTTCCTTTTTTTCATCCCTATGATATTTGTGGATAAGTGGTATTGCTGTCAGCAGTGCAACAGGAAAAAATACCTGCTTCAGCTGTGCTAGATAAAGCTGTTGGTAGATCCTGTTTGTTTTGAAAACCTATGAACTTTCAAAGTTCTTTGCATGGAATTATTAGGAAAGTTACAAAAGTTTACTCCAAAAATAGTAGTTAGGGCTGTGTGTTGGAAGTTGTTTCTTTATAATATATCTTAGTGACTGAGTAAGATAAGACTGAGTGAAAACCTGTTTCAGTTTTGAAATAGGTTTTAGCCTCCCAGATAAAACTTTTCAAGCAAATATAATCCAACTTTGCTACCTTTTGGAATTGTAGGATTGTGTTTGGGGTCTTTTGTTGTTTTTTGTTTTCTTTCTTTCTTGGAGCATTTTTGTCCTTTCATGAAGAAGTTTATTCATGGTTGTATATAATAGCATGGGATTGTGTTAGGAAACTCATGAAAGTATCTTTCAGTCCTGTTTTCTACCTGGAGTTGTGTGATGTGAAAATCTTACCTTGCTTTATTGGAGATATGTTTACACCTCATGTGGTTGACAAAGAAATCATGAGTACATAAATCTTCAGTTAGATAAAGGGAACTGAAATGTGTCATTAAAAACCTAATAGTTTTTATTTTGTGGGTTTTGGGGTGCAGCTCAGAATGCATTTGGGATTGTGGTTTCTCAAGTCCTCCTCATAGATTGTGATGCCAGGAAAAGGTATGTGTATGTATTATGGCATTGCAGTTGTTTATAATAAACTCCCCATTTAACAGCTAAAGGCAAAACCGTGCTGAGCTGTCAAATAATTTAGTGTATCATAATTCTAATGACCAGGTTCTCACTAATGGCTGCATTGCCCATGCGTAAAGTACATGACGTCTCCATGTGGAGATTGCACTATAA